CTATTAGCTTATTGTTCTCTAATAGCTTCTTGTTACTAGTAAGGCACTTGTTACTACTAGCGAGGCACTTGTTACTAGTAGATTGATGGGTGAACCGGTGAACCCTCTTTTTCCGGAGGATGTCCTTTACAGAGAGGAATGACAGACCTCATTGTGAACAGCTTGACTTCGGAAGAGGTTGCCGCATGGACACGGGAAGAACAGACTTCGATATGTAACGGTCCAAGAGTTCCTGAGCCACATCAAGTGCCCAGTAAGAGAGAATCTGTGATTTTTGCAGACCCACTCTTCAGGCTGGTGTTCTCAAGGAAAAACCGAGATGTTGCAGTTGCATCAACTGTGAAGTTCGCCATCCCAGGTAACGCCACCTGTGGTTTGGGCCTGGAGACGCGCCAAGTGCTTTGTGGATCGGAGAGCTGCCACCTGGAGGAAGCGAAAACGGACGTGGCCACTGGAGAGGCAGAGAGGCACAGAATAGCTCCACCTGAATAGGCACAAGGAACCTAATAGCGATGGCCTCCACCCTAGTAGCGATGTTCCTTTCGCAATTACCTGATAATCCTTCGTCTGAAAGAAAAGGCATGCACCGATGGCCTCCAACCTAACAGCGATGGCCTCCTCCCCTCAAAAGAAGAAGAACACTTCACTTTCAGCTTCCTTCCATTCGCTCTACGGACCGCCACTCCCGATTCCTGCAGTCTGGATCCTTCTCTTTGGATCACCGACTCCTCGTGGAAAGACCGCACGGGCGGAACGGCCCCACTCAGGCGACCCAGGCACCGCGCCCGCCTCCGAGCGGAGCTGCCACAGCAACGCCCAGTGCGAGTGGCAGATCGGTGACTGGGGAGCCTGCAGCCCCTCGGAAGCGGAGCATCCGCGGTGGGGCGGTGGTCGGCCATCCGCCCAGGAGCCCATCCGCGGAGTCCGGGTAGTGCCGCCCTTTTTGAGCAGGAGAAGAAGGTGACCTCTGGAGTTTCTGTTTTTTCTCCCAAGTCGCACCTCAAAAGTTCCATCTATTCCATGACAAAGCGCGTGTTTTGAGAAGTCTCCATCGGGTTGTCCACGTCATTCATGGTGACGGATGCTTCATGGGAGATGGGGCAATTTCGCATGCACCACCTCCAAAGCTATGTGTTACAGAGTCATGCACATCCCCATGTGCTTTGGGAGACACACTTACTTCATTTGAACCATCTCTCCCACAAGCCTAGCGACAGCTTTTCAGCCCTCCCGCTAGTGAGGAGGCTACAGGATCACGACCGATCCTTTTGCGGAGAGTCACCTTCATCATCATGCCATGTGGTTCACACCCTTGACCCTCCAATCCACATGTCATTCCAATCCTCCACACACACCCACCTCATCGGCACCTCCTAGGCACCTCCTGTGGCTCCGGCCACGCCTCTCGCGCCGTCCAGTGCCCCAGCACCGACGCCGACTGCGCCTGGGCACCGCGCCCCCTCGACCGCCGCAGCTGCCGCAACATCACAGGCCGCGGTGAACGCCGGTGAACGCGAAAGAGAACGGCCGGGGGGGGGCCGCGAGTGTCTCATGTAGCTACGTTCCAAGCGTCCGATCGCTCCCTTCGTAGCAATGCCCTTGGTTACCAGTAGCTTCTTGTACTAGTGAGTAGCGACGCCAGGAGCTACTAGTGTCCCTTGAAGACTGTGGGATGACGCAGCTGCATCTCCCCAGGCTGTGCTTGGTCCATCTCCAGCTGGTCCGCCGGGACGCCCTGCTCGCCGTGTGGAGTCGGCCGGAAGGTCGGAGCGACGGAAGGGAGGAATACTATAGTAGTTAGTTAGTTAACAAGCTACTATAGTAGTTAGTATAGGGCACCTTCTTGCTAGTAGCTTCTTGATACTAGTATACGGCACCTGGTTACTAGTAGTAAGGCACCTTGCTACTACTGCTCGGTTCAGGTCGAAAGTGGGAAGAGAAGAAACCCTGCGGAGAATGATCACTTCGAAAGCAAGGAAAGGAAGCAAGAGCTTGCAGAACGCGTGCAGAACATCAGCCAGTCGGCAGTTCAAAATCATGGCATTGTACCATCAAACCAGGCCATGCAAGTCAGTGGATAGACTGGGAACCCTGAAAATCCTTTCAGAAACTCTTGCCCTACCTGGCAGGAAAGTATGATGGTTTGATCAGTGGTCGCGAGACCAGACAGGTTATAGTTATAGCCATGCCCTTTCTTTAACCAGCTGATCATAAATGAATTGGCTGTAAATATATACCCACCAGCATCCCAACAATGGTGTCGGGCTGGTGTAGCTCGTCCCATCCAGTCGATGTGACAAGGGCTACCTCCACGGCTAACTCTGCCGAGGTGTGCAGCCAGAGTTGTGGAGACGGCACTCGGACGCGTAGCGCTGTGTGCCCCAGTGCCTGGGCTCAAAGAAACCTCCCTCTCAGTGCTACGTGTGTGTTCGAGATGTGAAGATGCCTGGGTGAGGGTGCGTCAGACCTCAAAATGGAACCATCTGGGGGGACTTATATATATATACAGGGATCGATCTTCATTTGATCTCCCATGGCTGAAGATGTTTGTGAGTGTTGCTTCGAAAGCAAGAGTTGTTGCAAGCGACTGGATCAACCTGCTCCTATCTGAGAAAGGAACATGTCCTCGATGTTACTCGTAACGTCCAAGGGTGTCGATTGAAGACTGTAGGCACTGGTCGGCGTTCCCTCAACTCTCACAACATGAAAGATGGTGTTCCTGGGAACTGACTAGACCTGAAAGTGCCCTGAAATCTCAGCGTGGTTGGTCTACGACAACTAATGCATCAAGTACCACAACCTTCCAAGTTCGGTGGTGTAAACGGGATACCCGACTCACCTCCAAGTTCGGCTTACCAGGACCTTCCCAGTGGCCTGAAATCCCAGTGGCGGGTCGGTCACGAAGTAAGGCCGAAAGAAAAGGTCAGAAACCTATCAATCCTGAAGAGGTCACTGGGTGTCGGTCCTGGTAGACTGACGGTGATGTGTTCCATTTGTTTGTTCCTTCATCTTTGCCACAACAAATCACCGTTTGCCAGTCTCCGACTGTCCAGGTGGCGAGGACACCGACTGTATCACCACTGCGGGCGAGCGACCCTCGCTGCTGGAGAGCTGTCGAGAAGAGTTGGGCTGCGCCTGGAGCATCGGGGACTGGTCCAGTTGCAGGGGGACTCAGAGAGGGACGAACGCGCGTCCAGCGCGTCCATCGCACTCGGGCGAAGGCTAAGCCTGCTTGAGAAACTCTCCACTCAACAAGAACCGGTGGAGTTCGTTGGAAGCTGGAATTTTTTCGGAAACTGAGGGAGTCCGGCGACAAAGACACCTCCTTTCCTCCCGCGTTCGGGAATGAAGAGTCTACGTATGGCGTGTTCGGGTGCAGAAATATCAGTCGCCCATCTTGGCAAAAAAGTTCGAGGGTGGGGTGTTGGGCCTTGAAGAAAGGTCTGACTTGGTGACCTGTAGAGTCGGGTGTATGAGTAACAAGAAGCTACTAGTAGCAAAGGGCATCGCCACGTTCGGAACAAGGGCGCACGAACTAGTGTACCTGCCCATCGCGACGCACGAACTGCTCTCTTGGGTCTTTGTGGTATTGAGTGGTCGCCTTTCTACCGCACAACCACTGTGAAGGTGGCGTGTGTGCAACGTGGATGCGACTCGTGTTGCTTCGAATGCGACCCAAGGTTTGAGATCCATTGGGTATGTCCCATTACCTGACAGTTGATAAAAGGTTATCTATGTTTGAGAAAGGCCTTTACTCATCACCGTCATCATCATCATCATCATCATCATCATCATCATCATCATCATCGTCATCATCCACTGTCCCTGGGAATGGGACGTGCTCAACAGGTGCACTGTTGACATCCTGGGTCCAACAAGACGATATGTTTACCAAAAACGCTTCTACTTCGCAATAATGGACACCAGCGACATCCGAACAACTCACTCCACTGAAGACTGCTGGCACACATCCCAACACCACCCACCATGATAGCATGGTTGACCAACCAAAGTCGAAAGCCAATCCAAAACCATGAAAACCAGAGGTGTCAGTCTCAAAAAAACCCTGTGGTTATTTCAAGCCTTTGTGATCGCCTTTCTGATCCAACGCTTCTTCCACCTGGGCGGGTGGGAAGCGAGGTGGTTAAACCTCGCCTCCCCACCGTTCGACGCACCGTGTTCACAGCGTCGAGCGGATCCGAATGTTCGGGGGAGAGGATCGGAGAGGACACTTGGGCAAGGTGGACCCTGCGAAAGCTGACAGCTTTTGCTGCCCTGATTTTTGGAGCCGTGGCGGGTCTCCAAACTAAGAAAGCGTCGCCCGTTGGAAGAGCTGATCGTTGGTCACTGGAACCAGTTTGGGTCGTTGACAGTGCCACCGATTCTGATGAAATGATATGGAATGAAGTGTGCCACCGATTCTTGACAAACAACAACCAATCGAGAGGTTGTCTTTGCTTTTCAACTAGCTTGTTCCACCAAATAGGTGTGCACCGATTTTGCCAGCTGGGGGCTGGTTCATGTTCTTCATGGAGGAAGTTCTTCGGATAGCTGGTGCCTGATGTCTTCATCCCTCCTTTTGTCCTTCATCCCTCCTCAGCCCCGGCAGGTTCCAGCGCCTGCGGCGCCGGTCGACGGCAGCGGGTGGTCGCCTGCGGCGCCGTCGGGGCGTGCAACGCATCCACCAGGAGCGGGTTTTGGCGAATGAATGAACATCAAATGGCCTTCTTGTTACTAGCAGCTTGTTGCTCCGTTCGTAGTAAGGCCAGTTTCGCCCCGTTCGTAGCTTCTTGGATCCTCCAAGCGATGCCACGTAGCGATGGTGGACGGAACCTCCGTCGCGGATGCCCGTGCGACGTCGGTCCGTGCGTCGGGAGACGTGACTCCTGTGGTCGACGAGGCCTGTGGACAGCGAGGCTTGTGTGGGCGAGTCCTGTGGTTGGTCCCTGGGCAGCTGGTCCAGCTGCTCCCAGAGCTGTGGTGAAGGTGTACAGGAACGAAGCGTTCAGTGTGCCTTGGACGTTCTACCCATCGATGTCTCCCAGAGCACCAGGGACCGGGGGAGGTCCACGATGGTCCCTTTGTTCTTGGAGGATGGAACGTGTGAGAAAGGTGGGTTGTGTGGGAGGATTCTTGGACTGATTGGTGTTTTTGTGTGATGCCCTTTTCGGGAGATTGTGAAAAAAAAGGGTCTTGATTTCCGTGAGGAGGCGCCGCTCCACCTGGGGAGGCGCCGATCCACACACCGTTGGACCGGAGTGCTCAAGGGAGACAGTGAGATGGAGGGCTATGATCTCTGTAAGACTCAAACAGTCGTTTGCTGTAAGACGGTTGGAACTTCGATTTCAAGCTTGGTTTCTTGAAAAGGTTGAAACCCAAAGTCACTTAGACTTAGAACTTGAACTTCGAAAGCTACTAGTAGCTCCTGACCTTACTACTAGGAGCGATCGGACGCTACTAGGGGCACTCCTGGCCTTACTAGGAACAAGAAGCTACTAGTAGCTCCACTTCCCAGACGATCTCTGCGATCCGAGGCATTGATCCAGAGGGCTGTGGCACTGCACCCCCAACGCAACAGGTGCCGCATGACGTGCTGCCGTCACGCGGAAGTGCTTCGTTCATAGGGTCCGATCGCTCCGTTCGTAGTAAGGCCAGGAACCCCTAGTTGCGCCCTTGCTCCGTTCGTAGCGATGCCCGAAATGCTCCTAGTAGCTTCTTCTACCTGTGAGGTGAGGGTTGTTAGATTTTCAATCAGGATCCCTTCTTCTCTTTATCGCCTTTCAGGATCACTCGAAGTAGAGTAACGTTTTTCTTCACATCCGTGGGTGGCGGTTTCACACTGAAAGCTCCGCGTTCGGAATGTTGGTCACATCTGAGACCTCGAAGGGGCAAACCGTCAGGACACGGGGAGCATCCTAAAAGGATACTGTAGTTGTTCCAACCAGCGAGGTAGGGTGTTGACCTTGAGTATCACATTTCGTTTGAAGATTGGGATCTTCAATGTCTCTATGTGAAGCCTTGAAATTGAACAGTCGCGTTTGGTGCATCTTCCCTCCTGTAGCTTGGTGAAAAGCCCTCAAAAAACACCCTTTCGTGCACTCTGTCCAAGTCTGAAAAGGGCATGCTTTGTAACAAGTGCATTACTACTAGTAATCTACTAGCGATGCCTGGATACTGGTAGTAATGCCAGGAGCTACTAGTAGCTTCTTGCTCCTGCACTTGTTATACTAGTAGCCTCTAGTCCCAAAGAGACCTCCAAAGATCTCGGACTCTTCGTGTTCAACTGTTCGACAGGTCTGCTTTACGACGGAGTCGTGTCAGTGGCAGCTGGGCCCTTGGTCCAACTGCTCCGATGGTTGCGGCATCGGCTGGCGCTCCAGGGACATCCGCTGCGGCGACGCAGGCGAGGTGTGGAGTAGGAGTCTTGCTGGTAGCTTCTTGTTCCTAGTAGTAAGGCCCTTTGCTCCTAGTAGCTTCTTGTTACTACTAGTAAGGCACTTGTTACTAGAAGCGATGCACTTGCTCCTGGTAGCTTCTTGTTCCTAGTAGTACGGCCAGGAGCCCCTAGTACCGTCCTTGCTTCTGGCTAGAAGCCTGCATGCACCTGGAGTTGCTTGGAGGTTGGGTGGAAATCAAAACTTTCGACGTTGATTGGTTTGGCAGCACACATTTGAAAACTCTTACGTGGAATTGGGTGTGCAGCTGTCAGGTGTTTTTGCGTTTCTTTGCTGTGGCTTTGCGCGCATGGACCAACCTCTAGTACCCCGCAACATTTGGGGGCGGACGTTTTCAGGGTGCAAGGATCTGCTCGCAAGGGAATTCACTTTCTCATGGTGCTCAGTCCGTGGGTTCTTCCCCAAATTCAGCCCGCACTGAACAGGAAAAGGATTTAAAAAGAAGATGGGCTTTTCAAAGCAAGCTTGCTTCAGCGCTTTGAGCAACCAGAATCCGAAGACCCTCTATTGTTGCCCTCAAGATCTCAAGTGGCCGAACTTCTACCTCTCCTTCTCCTACCTCTCCGATCAAGCGATGGCCTCCGATCTACTAGCGATGGCCACCCTGGCCCCGCACGTCGCAGGCCTCGTGGCGGAGCACTGCCCTGCACCGCGGCCCGAGGACCGGGAGAGCTGCGAGGCGCTGCGGAGCAGGCGCAGCGGTGATTCAGAGAGCGGGCTGAGACCGTTTTTCCAGTCCAAGAAGCTATTAATTTAAATTAAATAGCTTTTTGTTACTACTAGTAAGGCACCTGTTACTACTAGCGTGGCACTTGTTACTAATAGCTTTTTGTTACAATGAAATTGGAGTGCGATGTGTCATCAACACAAAGGACGAGAAGCCCACAAGCGCCGGTGCATGTACGTGCCGACGTTCTTGGGTCTGTCTTGTCTGATCAGGGTGATCAGTCAAGACCGGCAACTCTCCAAGTTCCACCGGACATCCCAAGAGAGGTTAAGTGACCTGAACTAGGACCCTACTGGGGTACCTATGGGACAGTCTATAGGGTCATTCAACCTCTGTTGGTCTGTTTGGAAACACTCCGCATCGGAGAAGTTCCCGGTCCCGCAGGTCGCGTCTGGGCCCCTCCTGCGGTTGGACCACGGGCCTTTGGTCGGCCTGCGACGCGTGCGGGCCGCAACAACGGGAGGTGCCGCGTCACGGTGCTTCTTCAAGTGTGTGTGTGTGTCTGTGTGTGTTTTTCTTGTTGCCATTAGCCCGCCCTTTGAATGCAGTAGGCACCTACTTAATGAAGTGGTATGGGCGACGAGCTAGCTTCTAGTAACTGGACGCAGGTAGTTCACGCGCTTATGATTTGGTTCCTGGGAAACTAGGATAACGTGAGTACAAGAATAATAAAGAAGAAGCGTGCCGTCGCCGAAAATAACACGTGAGATGTCTAGGATAACTAGATGCACTATGAAAATGATGCCTCTTTGGTTCTTTCGGGTCTTTTTGAAGACAGTGACTGAGGTTTCAAAAGCGTAGGGGTAAAGGAATTTGCTGAAGATACCTATGAAGTAAGGAATTGTGATGTTTGATTGCGTTCGAGTTGAGATGCCATAGTTCCTAAAGGTTGACCAAAAAAAGTTGAGAAATTCGCCGCGAGCAGTTTGAAAGTCAACAGGTTTGAGATTGTTCACCACACGCGCGGAACGCACATCGCTGTTCGGATGCCTGTGGTTCAATCCGATCGGATGAGTCCAGACTCCCATGTCGCGATCCGCGGGGTTCACTCGGCCGCTTCGGCCACAGCCTGCCAGCACTTGCTACTAGCTTCTAGCTACCAATAGCAAGGTCCCAAGCCACTAGTAGCAACAAGCCACTCTTGTGGCAACGGCAAAGTCAAGAGCCGTTTTGGGTCTCAGGCCCTTTCGATTCAAACCGATTCTTCCAACTGTGCAGCGTTTTTCCTGCCATAGTTGGAAGATCTAGGTATGTTCTGTAGCAATCTTGATCAAGAATCTGGATTCTTTCAAGGCTGCCAGCTTTTCACCTCAAAAACCATCTCCAACTCGCCACCGCCTTGTCCCTTGACCCGTTGTAGCGCAAACGCCAGGTTTCGTGCCAGGGCAACTGCTTCGGCAAGCCACCCAGTGCCGTGATGCCCTGCCAGGCACGGGGCTCTAGTGCGTCTGGGTGTCGGTGTTGTTTCGTTTTCGGAACAAGAAGCTTCGTTCGAATGGAAGAGGGGTCACGTGGCACGTCCCTAAAGAGGTCATTTCGAGACTCCAAAGAGGCCACTTCGAAGGTGGTGGAGATTGGGAGAGGATCGAACGAAAGAACTAAGTGTCGAGAGGATGCCACTGGAGCTACGTTCGTAGCGTCCGATCGCTCCGTTCGTAGCGATGCCCCTTCTTAATAGTATACTAGCGTCTTGTTACTAGTAAACATGACGCAGTGAGGTGCAACATGAAACATGTCCCTGTTGAAGGGGATGGAAGGGGGGGGGTCGCGCTGTCCTTTCCGACGATCCCTTTGGAAGAGTCCGTTCCAAGTCCTTTTGGCTGGAAGAAGACGCTCGCCGTGCTGAGGAAACATGTCTTGTGTCCCAACCTTCTGGAAGATTGATTAGGGTTGCAAGGTGGTAACAACAAAGGAGATGCTTCATAGACCTTCCAAGAAAAATTGGTCTTCGAAAGGTCTTTCTTCGTTGGGGAAGGTCACGCGAGTGGCGTCGAATATGACGTGAATCACGCGTGCAGGAGGCTGGATGCCAGGAGCAAGGAAATGCCACCGCCAGGTGTGGAGAAGAGCAGTGTGGAATCACAGGGAATCGTGTGAAATTCCCCGATGGTATCCGATCATCAAAAACCTCTTCATATGCAGGTCTACTAGGTCTACATGAATCACCAGTCGAAAAATGAGTCGTATGAAGGGGGCTGTTGCCCACGCCGCACCCCATCGCGTTCTTCGAGGTCGGAACATCCGCGCCGCGCACGCGCCGCATGGGACCCTTTTTGAAGATACACGGGTCTGTCACGTGACCCACTGGAAGCGCCAATGGCATTAGATCTGTCCAAGGGGGCAGAGCAGGATGGGTTTAGTTGGATGAAAGGCTATTGCTATAGAATTGATGGATCTACTGGCCAGCTGACTCCATTGCTGGCCGCCAACTGGGTCAACTGGAGGTACAGAGGTCACACTGGTAGCGGGTTGGGGCTTCCATACACCTGGTGATCTGGAGGCACTTGGATCACCAATGCCTGGGGAGAGGCTTAAGCTTCCCACTGGGCCACTGAGGCGGGTTTGGAGATCATGACCAGATGTTCTTTGGGACGAATTTTGGGGGCGAACTAAAATACCTCACATCCAGGAGTTTGGTAGGGTTGCCCTCGATTTTTGAGAAGCACCTATATGGACCAGTTGTTGCTCTTTTCGGATGCTTGTCCCATCTTTGGCACCTGGCATAAATCCCAATCCAGTGTCAACTCGACCCGGAGGGCCAGCGGGAAGAAAGAAACTGCCAGCCACCGCGAGATGGGGTCTAGCGACTCTAGCACCCCCCGGTTAACTTCTTGCCTTTCTTTCCAAACCTCGTCCTGCTCCTCCTTGCGTCCGTAGGTTTGACGTGGAACTTCTCATCGAGGACGTCTCCATGGAGCTCCTGTCGAAGCTGATTGCTGGCACGCGCCAGGCCGGCGACGCGAAGCGCCGGAATCCACGGGTGCTTCGCCGGAGGCGGCATGGGCGAATGCGGCGGCGAAGGCGGCGAATGTCGCTGTGGATGAGTGGTGTTGTTCACCCATGATCCAAGGAGTTGGGACTTGGAATGCAGCATGTGGCAGCATGGTTTTTTGGAGTGATCCGGTCTGGGTCATAGGACTTCAATATTTTTTTGGGCCCCTGGTTTAGATGTGCTTTCGCAGATTGACAACACTCTCTTGTTCATTGTTGAAGTTTGTTCTCCACAGATGGAAGGTCTCAGAGGCGAGCTACAAAAAACGTGAGGGGGTTCATGAGTTGCTTCTCAGGTGTACTGCACCATGTACACCAAGCATCAGCCTGGTTCTTCCAAATCCTGGCCTCACGATGCTGATCGCCCTGCCACGAACCTCCAAAGTTTGGAGTCCCGTTTCTCACGAAAACGAAGACGAGTCCCTCCGTCCACGTGGTCCTTCGCCCACCGGGGCGCACCGATCCCTCGTGATGGTCGTTCCAACGGTCGACCGATCGCACTCACGAGGACTCCGCTCTGCCGCGCCCTCGGGACAGCGCCACAGGGGGCGAACACCCGTCCCAGTGCTAGTAGTAACAAGTGCCACGCTACTAGTAACAAGTGCATCGCTTCTAGTAACAAGTGCCTTACTAGTAGTAACAAGAAGCTAGTAGAAATAATGGTTTCTACTAGCTTCTTGTTACTAGTAGTAAGGCACTTGTTACTAGAAGCGATGCACAGGGGGCAAACAGCCATCCCAGTGACGGCTTCTTGTTATGTTCGTAGTAAGAATGCTCCGTAGCGAGTCGCGAGGCCAGGAGCCCTGTTCGTAGCGTCCGATCGCTGTAGTAAGGCCAGAGCTCCTAATTAGTAGCTTCTTGTTACACCCCAGGAACTCCGCCCGACAGAAGTGGCCGAAGCGTTGCGGCTCCAGCGTCCCACACGGGCACCCCCGGGTCCACGGCGTGTGAAGTCTCGTGGGACGCCATGGTGACGGTGCAAACCAGTATCCCACCCAATTGGAAGAGGCTGGGAAGAGGGGAAGAAGTGGAAGGGGGCTCAGGTGGCTTGCATGGAGGTGAGCTCGTTTAGAAGACAGACGCCTCCCCCAAAAAAGGGGGACAAAGAGAATGGTCGTCACCCATGTTTTGGGGAAGGGACGTCTTGTTCATTCAAAGGGTCGATGGCACACAAGGATGAGCGCAAGAACACGGGCGGTGGAGAGGAGATGCCGGAGACCATTCCCCAGCATAGTTTGATGATGTTTGATGCATCATGTTCGCCCATTCGGTTCGAATCAAGTGGCCTCCCACATGGTACTTTCCTAAAACGCCACCCCACAAGACCCTGAGCATCAAGTTTTCGCCCTGCGCTCTTTTCCTCCCCGTCCACAAGACCAGTGTCCCCCCCTCGCAGCCGAATCCAGACGTTTGTGGAACGTCGAGAAACCCGTCAGGATCCAGGTCGTCACCCCAAAAAATGGAGAGAAAAACCTTCGCGGGAAAAGAAAGAAACCTTTAAAAGGTTTCTTTTTCGTCAAGGCTGTTGCACTTCGGTGCCCGTCGGTGCCCGTCTACCCCCATGTCTGACAATGAATGAATTCTACGAGCCGGCCTAATCGGGCGAGGCGATAGGAATCCTTCGCACCAGAGACCTGAGGTTCCTGTTGATGCACAAACAAGTGCCTTACTAGTAGTAACAAGAAGCTATTAGGAACAAGTGCCTCGCTACTAGTAACAAGTGCCTTACTAGTAGTAACAATGTTCGCTATTAGGAACAAGTGCCTCGCTACTAGTAACAAGTGCCTTACTAGTAGTAACAAGTTGGAATTAGACTTAAATTAGAATTAGAATTGAAATAGAATGCACCAGAGACCTGAGGTTCCTGTTGATGCTGACCATTTTTTACGGAATTGACTTCATCTACTACTTCATCATGGCCCAGATTGCCGATGTCGTGACCATCTATCCACCAGATGCTTGGAGTGGAGTGTTTGGTTGTCCTTTTCTTTTGACGTTGGCGATTGGCTGAAGGTTTTTGAAAGCAATGGAAGGTCACCTGGTTTCTGTGGTGAATTTTCCAGCTTAGTTTACCAGGAGTTTTGGAACTTGATATATTCGAGGCACGCGTTGGCCAGTTTGGTTTCCCAGCGAGGCGTTTAACAAAGTAGAGAAGCGCTTGGATCTGGGCGAACCCCCAGGTGTTTGACATCTCAACCTCTCAACACGACAGTTCAGGCCATTGGTCCTTGCGGTTGGAGATTTCGGGCCTCTCAAAGGGGGGACTTTTTCGGCTGAACGAGAAGCCGTCGTCGCCATTGCGGCTGAACGCGGCAAAGGCGAACGAAACATATGTTCACCGTTTTGGCCTTTCTTTGGGTCGCCACTGAGAGGTGGTTTCCGGAGCATGTTGATCCTGTAGGGCCGCCTAATACAAAGCGGACATCAAAGGTTCAGGCGGCACCCAGGTGGCCCTATGGCCCTATGGTCCAAGAAGTGATACATTTAATTGGATTCTTCCATCCACAGGCACCTTGTAAACCAGTTTGTTCAACTACCTGGATCTTCCCAGCTCAAAGAATCACCTGTGGGAGTGACTCATCGCCGAGCGCCACCGTCGCTGTGCTGCGCCTCAGGAGCTCGTGCAGAATGCAGCCGTCGTGGCTAGGGCGGAGAGGGGAGAAGGGAGGGAGGTGTTCCGCTTCAGACGACTGACTAGGGAACCTCACACATCAGTTCACACATCATACTAGGTCTCTCCCTACCAGGTTTCAGTGGATGATGGTGAGCTTGTAGGCCTTTCTCTAAAATAGGGATGTTCTTGTTTACTGACTGTTACAGGTAATAGGACAGACCCAACATAGTACACGTCTATGATTGCCATGGTTTGTTGCTTCGCCTTTTTAATATGATCAATGATCAGTACTAATTGCAGACTGGCTGCAGGGTCCCCGTAAAGAAAAGAGAACAACGTTTGCTGCACACAGAGTTGCTTCAACAAACCACTTATCCAGTCAGTAGGTCGCATTTGGAAAAACAAAACGCTCACCTTTCTCCTGAAACATGAACCCCGGTGGAATGCGAGGGGATACCAGCTGCTTAGACTCAACCAATTCTTCAGCTATCGGATCCGAAAGTGGAAAACAAAGCTCAAAACGAACGAACCACAAAAATAAACATCGAAGCGATGACCTTCCACCGATCTCGGTGCCCATGGGGACCCGTCCAGAACACATCAACAACCTAGACCATGCACCAGTGAAAAACTCCTCGTCAAGCGGTCTGAATCTACGGATTTCATGGGTTGAATGATTCCCCCACAAATGACCACAAAATTAGCCCCAGGTACGCTAACCAATTTCTCCAGTTCGTTGGAAACCATCGCGGTTCGTCGCTTGGTGTCGCGCGCGGGCGGGGGTTCGCGGTTCGTCGTCTCTTCCCAAGGGCTTCGCGCCGCTCTCCTGGACACCGGTGGTTCTGGCCATGTCCACGGGTGAAGGCGTCACGAAGCGCCTCGGTGACGCTACCCCACCGCGGCCGGACACGGGCCGTGCGACGCGGCGCGCGCGAAGCGGGCGGACGCGGTCGTGACCGTGTTGGAAGAAGCTGGAGAGAAACTCCGGGCAAAGCTGGTAGCGATGCACTTGTTACTAGTAGCCCTATTGGGAAGCATGTCGGGAAAATTTTGGGAAGAGACGGCCTAGCTTCCAACCAACTAGCGATGGCCTCCACATCCCAAAGACATCCAAAGACCCCTTTTGCTGGGGTGGCAAAAAAAATGGCTCCTGTTGTGAAGCACGGGACATGTGAGCCGTTCGAGTCTTGCCCTCGCCAAGTGGCTGCCGAACACTGGGCCCAGTGGTGATCGCTCCCGAAACGCGTCCTTCGCCGGCGTCCGCTTCGGTTTCGCTTCGGTTCGGAGCCGAGGTGGGATTCCGCGGCCTTTGGCGCGTACATGAACTTCTGCAACGGAGCGATCGAAAGGGGGACCAAAACGAAGGGTTGGGGAAATCGGGTGAACTGGAGAAGGGCGAAGAGTTCCTCCCCACAAAACCAGAAGAAAGAAGAACAGCTACACTTCCTGAAATCATGTAAGTGGAGTTCACCACATGTTTGGTATGAGGAAGACTGCTCATCCGAGTCTTCGGGCTTTGCCATCCACGTCGTCGGCCATTTCGTGTGTTCACGGCAACGATCGGCCTCAGCTGACGCCGGCTTCAGCCAGCGGTGGCGTGTGCGGGATGTTCGTCCAAAGCCATCGTTTTGGTTTCAACGACTTCATTGTCCTTTGATGAATTGATGTTGAAGCTGTGCGAGCTCAGCAAAACTGGAACTATCTGGAACTCAAGCACTGTAGTTTACAGTAGAGGTGAGGTTGTCGTCACTGAGAATGGGGTCCGGTGAGACTGAAGTTGGCGAGACTGAGATGGATTGTCTGGCCTTTGGGGATTCGTACAGCTGCAAGACATCGTCGTTTGGTTCGGATTTTGTTTTTTTGTCTCTGAGTATTTGATATTAGAAGGGGCATCGCTACTAGGAGCAAAGGACATCGCTACTCGGAGCGATCGGACGCTACGTTCGGGGCTCCTGGCATCGCTACTAGGAGCAAGAAGCTACTAGTAGCATCTCCATGTGTCTTTTCGACCTCCGGATGACCAAGCAGTTCCTAGGCATTTTCGCGTGCTTTCAGGGCACTGCTTTGGTCTTCTTCGAGGTCTACCGCAGTGCGCCACTGGGCACATCGTCCGGTCGGATCGCGGCGGACACGGTCAAAAACCGTGCTTTGGAGCAGAAGGAGATCCGACCCACGCTTTGAGGGAATGTCCTGAGATCATCTGAGATCCACGAGCTTCTTGTGTACTCACTGGCAAACGCATCCTGCTTGGTCCAACGAACTAAGAGTAGCTACGTGTTCCGCTCCTAGCGTTGCCCTTGTTACTCGCAGCGTCCGATCGCTTCTAGTACTAATGCCAGGAGCTACGTTCGGTTCGCGCTCCGATCGCTCCTACAGCTTCAACGCCCGTGTGGAGGCGGTTGGAATGGCTCGTTCTAACTGAGGCCGTGGTACACGCCAGTGATCGATACCATCTGGGGCACCTTCTCAGGTGGGCGGTCAATAATCGGTGTTGGAGGTCGGAGGGGCTATGACTTGGACAAAAAGCTCCGTTCGTAGCGTTTGCTCCGTTCGTAGCGATGCCAGGAGCCCCGTTCGTAGCGTCCGATCGCTCCGTTCGTAGTAAGGCCAGGAGCCCCTAGTTGCTTCTTGCTCCTAGTGGTTTCGAAGTTGGACCTGCCATCCGAGTTCTTTTGTGGGCCTATTTGTGAGAGCGGAAATTCTGATGGGGGAGCTATATGGTTTTGGGAGTCTGGATGAGAAGAAGAGAAAGACGTGCATTGAATCAAATACTTGTCAACTGACAAGCAAAACTGACCCAACCGCGAGATAGCAGCTCTAGTACCTTGGCCAGTGAAGAAGATTTCTGTGGCTTGGTTCCCAGCTTGAAGCGTTTTCTTGCGGACTCGGTGTCGTTCGGCGGCCGGCTTGCGTCAGACTCAGGTGGATTGACCTGCCTGCTGACCCACCTCCTGTGGGAGAGATGTTGCGGCTACAGCAAAATGGAGTTGGGCAGCAGCCCATGATGGGCACCTTCAGCTTGGGTGCCTCGCTGCACCGGCTACCGAACCTTCTCACCTCCAGGCTCACTGTGACTGCGTGAAACGCCGGTTCCGTCGGTTCGGCGCCGATTGTCGGTCGGTCCGGTGGATCAACTGGGTCGATGTAAGTAGCGACTTCGCCCAAGGGGTACATCATGGTTTCAACCAAGAAGCTACGAACGGAGCAAAGGGCATCGCTATTAGTAGCTCCTGGCCATACTACTAGTAACAAGAAGCTACTAGAAACAATAATTAAGCTACTAGGAACAAGTGCATCGCTTCTAGTAACAAGTGCCATACTACTAGTAACAAGAAGCTACTCATCATTCCATCGAAGAGGTGTGCATTCGTGCGTTTCGACCTGAATTGGATCCCATCCCAGATACCTCAGAAACCAGTGACCAGGAACCCTAGTTCCATCTAGCAATCTCGTTCCACCAAGAGAAAAAGGTCCTAGATAATAATAAATATATATATATGTATTAAAACTAGCTAGAAACTAGTAGGTTGGAGGTCATCGCTACTAGTGTGGAGGTCATTACTACTAGTAGCAAGGACGCTACGTTCGTACAGATGTGTGCCTTGTTTTTCGACATGAAGAACCATTTCAATGTCTTCCCTCGTTGCTCTCCCTGTGGATCCACCGGTGGAATTCCCGTCCTTTCCCGTGGCCAGGGCGGTGTCGAGCTGTGGAAGATGTCAGTCCTGATGATATTTCTTCAGGTACTGATTGGTCAGTCCTGATGGAAAGCTTTAAGTCTCGGAAGGTTTCTGACGAGTCTCACTTTCGTCAGATATTGGGTCTCTAAGTCTCTGGACGCCGAGAACCGCTCGCGGTTCTGTGCGAAGCTTCCAGTCAGCATCGAGTCGTTCGCATGACATGATCCGAAAGGTTCGAACGTTCCTCGAGTCGTTGGGCCACGAGGTTTTGAGCCCGGGGGAGTAGGCCGAGGAGGTAGCTAGTGGAAGAGAGGTAGCTACTTGGAACTTGTTCGCTCCTGGCTGGGACGCAGGATAGCTCACGCTTCTTCAAGGAAGCTCCCGCCTGAGGGCAGGGGGGAGCTTCCTTGAAGCAAGCGCTCGCGCTACTGATTTGGTTCCTAGATTTTTCGGGAAACTGAGGTTTTGTTATGTTTTGGTCCACCACATCCTTGCAGTGGATTTGAATCCTAAAAGAAAGCGGTTGGAAATACCTTGACTAGCCAAAAAATCAACTTTCCCTTTGAATGCATGTGGACCTGCCGCGCCACAGCATCTCTGTGTTTCCCTCAAAGAGCCCTTGAGAGCCGGTCATGACGCCCCTGAACTGAAGCTTCCATCGTCAAGCTTCCATCGTTGGTCACGTATCAGGCACGACCTGTTTCAGTGACCCTAGTAGGAGAAAGGTGCGTGGAATGCTGCTCCATTCTTCGTCCACATACCTCACCCAGCGAACTCTTGCCTGCACCATTTTGGGGCACGGTTACACGCAACTTTGTGACTTCGCAACAACGGATGGATAAGATGTAACCATATGCTTCACCGGTGGGTGACCATCGACGGGAGTGGCGAAGTGGCGGACCCGAAGAGCTTGTCGTCACGTTCGACGGGGTGGTGTGGCTTTTAGTCCCCTTACGTGAGTGGAGGTGACAGGGGCACCCAACTCCTACCTCCGTTCGTTCGGCACCCCGTCGAACGTGACTGGTCGATCCTTCTTTCAACTGCTGAAGGGAAACTCTTGACACGAAAAATATTTGCAGAGAGGCATAGCCCATTGGGGTCTTTAGTCCAGGAAGAAAGCACAGACATTGGGGGAGGAACTGGATGCTGCACACGAAAGAGGTCGGTCTGCATGTAAACGAGTCGAAGTTGGCAGTCCGCTAGTTCTGAAGGCCCCATACGGAATCCATGTGGGAGGGGAATTGGGAAGGTTCAACCTAGTAGCGATAGCCTCCAGGATCCATAGGGTTGGTGGCTGACACGTTTAACGTGTTTGTTCTGTTTTGCATGGAGGTGGTGAATTCGGTGTCCGGTTCTTTGTTTGGATCAGGTCAATAGTATGGTCTTACCGTGTTCCCTGACCTCACAAACTTCCATGCACCTTTCACAGGGTGTCCCCAAACTGGGACACTCCGGCTGTGCTGCACAGCGCACCACGCTGGACGGAGCGCGGAGGAAAAAGGCCGACGGACCGCCGGGGGTCCACGCGGGTGGCATACGGGTGGCATGTCCGGGCTTCAAAGACACGAGTCGGCTAAAGGCATGTCTATTGAAATGTGTTTCTGTTTAGTAGGTGTTTTTTGTTATGTGTCATTATTACTTGTTGTTTGGTATTTGTTGTGTGTTTTTGTCTTTCTACCTTTAGACCTGTTCTGTTCTTTTCTTCACACTGTTTGGTTCCACAAGAATCCGGCAGACTTGCGTGGCCGCCTGGCAGCGCAGAGCGTGCGCAGGCCGTGGCCACGATGCTGGCGGTGAGCATCGAAGAGGTCCAGGTGCCCGAGCGGACGAGAAGAGCGGGAGCTCGAGGAGCGGCGACCGAGCCACCATCCAAAACACGGAAAGCTTGGTGCTTTGAGGGCCGCGGATTCCTGTTGAAAGGTGATCTTTAGGCCACAGAGATTGGTGGCAGGACTCCTGCAGGACATGTTCAAATCATTTGACATCTTGGCCAATCTTGGCTGAAGAGCCTTGAAGGAGCCTTTGAAGAAAAGGCCCGCTTCTGCATTCTTTGTGCACATTCTACTGCCAGGTTGCTGTGAAGAAATCGCGATCGCTGAGATGGGGTTCCAATCTTCACCAGACCTTCAAACCATTCGAAACCCCGTGTACATGCAATGCACCCCGTGTACATGCATTGCAAAACGAAATTGTATTTGGACCAACAAACATATGGTACAAACATCTTCTTCCGCTCCCTTGGAAGATGGTCTCCAGCGGATGAATCTGTCCAAGCAATCGAACATCTTTGGAGGTCAAAAAGCATACTCTCCCTGGAAATGAATAGCTCATGCAGAAAAAGAGGTGCCAAGTTTCGAGCGACCGTAGCTGCTAGCACTCTATCTCTTTCGTTCAACCTTCTTTCGACACCACGGAACCTGACGGAACCTGATTGGTGTGGAAAGCATCCGGAGTTCCATTGATATGATTTCCGGGCTGCTCCAGTGGTCGATGATGTGGCACATTCCTTCATGGTCGAGGATCCATGTTGGTCTTGAGCGAACTCGTTTGCTCACTTCATACGATGACTTACATTTTTACCACTTTTCATTTGGTCTCGTCCAACATCGAAACAGTTCACTCCAGCAGAGCCGGTTGCACAGGGCTCCGGCTCGGGGGAAGTCGTGGCAGGTGCCTCAGATCACACCGGCTAAAACGAGCCACACCAGCCAGGTCCCATGTGACTCCAGGCTCCATGTCGTAACTCCTTCGTCTCCACAGACGCGAAGGGGGCGATCGGACGCATCGCCTTTAAAGAAGGTTCGGAAGCTCCGGTGGTTTGGGACTCGGGACCCCTCACCAAGTCCCGCTGTGTGGCGAGAAACCGACAGGTGAAGTTGGTGAACGACACCAAGTCCCGTGGGCGCCGCTTGAGCACGCGCTTGAAGCTGGAGGCGACCGTCGGTTTGCGCACGCGCTGAGTGTTCGGACTCATAAAGAATGTCACGGATGTCAGCTTTGTGCCCCCTGATTTGGGTGAACAACGCTGTCAGCTGCTTGGCCTACAGACCAGACCTCTCTCTCTTCCTTTCGCCAGTGCCTGGATTCAAACTGCATGTGGTGACATGCCAGATTTCCCACTTTTGAGGTGGATTTCAGGGGGGCACGCCATTCCCTGAAATTGTTTTTTGACGAACCGTATAGGTCGACTATGATCAGTTCTCGGCAATTCCATGCCCGTAACGGTGCAAAGCGGATTGCAGCTGCGGGAGGGCGCTTGGTGTTCCATGGGTATGTATGGCAACTGTGCTTGCTATACCAGAGCTGGATAGCCAAGTGAACAAGACTGGCAACTTGTTGTAGGGGACAACATCAGATCTTGGAGTCCGCCGTTTTCCGCCCCTTGGCCGTGACCCCTTTGGCCACCTCTTCCGTTGGGGGCGTGGTCCGGGGTTCGACCGGAGGCGACGGAAATGGAAAGGGATCTAATAGCGATGGCCTCCAACCTACGATAGGAGCAGAGTGGTTGTCTTTTTTGGTTGTCTTCCTCGCACAGCGTTCAGGGACAGTGTGGTGTGTTTGGAATTCGTTCATGTGGAATTGAACATTGCGGCAGTTGTCATAGAGTCAGGTGTCATATCAAGTGTTCGGCGCCGTTGATGAACCCTGATGAACCCATATGAACCCATCCACTGTTCAGGTGGAGGTCACAGGAAGCTCCACCGGCATCGCAGTGCTGAACTCCCAACAGGGTCAGGAGCACCGTCGTCCGGCCGGAGTAGGACATGGAAAAGGATCGGTTTTGCGGAGAGATCTATTGAACCCCAGGGCGGCTTCCGCAGAGTCCAACGCCTTTCCTTTGACCCAAGTCAGCAAACAAGTCAGCAAGTCCAACGCCTTTCCTTTTTGCCAAAAGAAGGGTTTTCAGGTTTTCCCCTTGGGGAAACTTTGCATTCGACGGTGAGCGGGTTTGGTCGATCGCCTCGACCCCCCATCGGCCCCATCCGCTCTGTCCGACCGGAGGAGCTGTTGGAGACGGAGCTTTTGGAGACTTGGGACGCCCAAGGCTTGCCACTGGAGGACTTCAGTGTGGCCTAGCAGCCATTCGATGCCATTCGCTAGGTAGGGTGGAGGCCATCGCGAATAGGTCTTCAGTGTGGCCTGATGAAAAGCACGACGGGGAGAGATGGATCAAGGTCTTCCGCGGATCCAACCGCGGTGGTCAGCGGTGCTGGATCCGCCACTGTTCTGATGCGTGGGGCTGGTGTTCAAAACCGTGGGTTCGTCTGAAGGGCCATCTTTGGAGTTGTCGAGGTGTGGAGAGCCTGGTTTAACAATCCTGTGTTTGGGCGAAAGAGTGTTTCTGCGTTTCGGGACTTGGCATGTTTTGACCGATGCTCGCTTTTTGTGCACCAAAAAGCTTGTTTTTGTTTTGATCGTGACCTCAGCACCACGAAGACTCTGCCCCTTTCGCCGGTGAAAGATTCCATGCTAAAACTCGAAATCAGCAAAACTGATTCATGCAGTAAAGCAGATTCAAGGCCAGGAGCCCCTTGCTCCTCGTAGTAAGGCCAGGAGCCCCTAGTAGCGTTCTTGCTCCTAGTAGCAAAACTGATTCATGCAATCATGTCCGGGTGTTTCCCTACCCTGACAAGTGTAGCACCCAAAACCCGTCGCTGATGTCAAAAAGTGCTTTCTGCATTGTGAAAGGAAACCTGCAACAAAGCATAACAAACCTGTATATGTCGTGTTTGTGATGTATTAGGAGGCCGTCGCTAGATGTGTCTTTTGTTGCATGGTTTCTCCACTAGTTTCAGAAGATCCCTTTCTGTGAGGCTCCCAGGATGGACGAGCCCCTCGCACCGAGGTCATGCTGGGCCCCGTAGAGACGCTTGCAACCGGCTCGACGACCACGTTGGAGGGGTGCGCAAAGCCAAGGATGACCGGACTGCTGCTGGACCACTTGGGAAGGTGGTAGGTCCTAGAAATACCTGTGGATGGAGTGGCACTGGGAACTTGGCACTTCGAACTTCGAACTCAGCATTTGCTCAAGTTGCTGACTCTTTTAGGCTTGCCTGAAGATGGAGTCTCGCTACTAGGTGTAGGTGGCCTTGGGACAAGTTTCCGACTCCAACAAGACTTGTCCCATTCCCATCCCAAGCCTTGGCTTTGATTTGAAACCCCCATGCACCCCATCATGCGGAAGCACGTGCGTTTGTGTGTCGTGATTTTCGTTCCACGCTGAGGCCTGAGCAAGTGGAGCAAAAGGATCCTTCCAACATCTCGAGTCTAGTGATGGTCGTGGGGAAACCTTGCCGGCAGTTGCTTGGGTGTTGAGAGGAGAGAGAAAAGGATGTAAGTACCTGGTTTTGAGCAAATTTTGGTCGACCACCGTTGTCGCAGATTTTAGCACCAAACCTACTGGTTTCGGGCATGAAACGTGCGTTTGACCTGGTTTTGAGCATGGCTGCATTTATGGGGACACCAAACATTCATGGAATCGAACAATACAAATCCATTGAACAACAATTAACTCAGCACAACTCAACAGAAGTCCTGAGGAAGAATGTCTGCAAATCCTCGGCCGGCATGAATCCAACTTCACAAGATCCAACTTGACATATTGACTTACACAGGCGTAAAGGACTAGGTCTAGTGAGTCTAATGACTAGGTTCAGAAGACTTGCACACGCTCGACTAGAACGAACGCAAGCTCCACATAGCTCCACAATTTCGAACCAAACCAGCTTCTTGTTTCTACTAGCTTCTTGTTACTACTAGTATGGCACTTGTTACTAGTAGCGATGCACTTGTTACTAGTAGCGTGGCACTTGTTTCTACTAGCAAAGTTCCTGCTCCACTGACCCAGCTGAGTTACAAGCCAGTTACGGGAACTCCGAAGGAGACGAAGCAAGGCCACGTTCTGCGAAAAAAAGCGAATGGGACGAAGCAGGTGCAGGAGCCCCGTTCCATCCTTGCTCCTAGTACTAAGGCATGCTGGTTACGACATGGACAGGAGCAGTCGGATCAAATGCCGAAGACTTGCAGCCGATTTTTTTTGCAGGAAGAGAATTGTCCTTGTCTTCAGAGGACTGCCACGAGGCGACTTGGAGTGCTTCAACGGTGGCAGCTCAGGGCAAGTCCTGTTGAAGTGCTCGTCCGTTGCTGGCCTTTGAGGCTTCACAGCTGGAAGAATTCACAGCTGCGGTTTGCCTGTTTCCATTTCGAAAAGCAAGTTGGATTCCACCTAGTAGCTTCTTGTTACTAGTAATGGTCCGGCTGGTTGCCATCCAAAAGACCAAGATCAGCTTCGCCAGAGGGAGCTTTGCAAAGAAGAATGCCATTGCGCCAGTTCTGCAACCCTTCATGCAATCTGCGCAGTAGTCAGATGCACAGGTCGCCAAAGGAAAACACCGAACTTGCTTCATGCAGTGAACATCATGCAACTACTAAAAGTTGAAGAGGCCAACCATTCGAACACCATTTCATACCGGTTCTCCAGTGAAATGTAATCGAAGGAATTCATTTCGAGACGCACGAGACCCCAAAAACGCATCTTGGACCGTGTATTTTGGTTCAAGTTGTTGAAAAAATTATGGTCTCAGACTTAAAGATGAAAATGGTGGACTGCAGCCATTGATTCACTCACGCCCCTCACTGAGATTGGGGGGTAGTGAGAGCCCAAGGGATTTTCTGAAAGTGGAACTAAAAAATGGATCCCAAACCCATCGAAGTTTAGGAAAATTTTAACCCATCGAACCTCAGAGACCCGGCTCGTTGCTTCTGTTTCCAGTGCCGGCTGGTCGAAAGAAGCATCCATTTCACTTGTTATAGCTGGTATCCATCTCCGGGCTTGGGTGTAAAACACCAAGCACTGCCAAGTTTGGAAGGTTTGTCACCTGTCGGCAGAGCTGACCCCGTACCCTACCACACCATGCAAGATCCCAAAGATGGCTCGAACCGTATGAAGAACTGCTGAAATTCAATTCTTTCCTTTCTTGTTTCAGAAATTGTCGGAATTGTTCTACCATGTTCTACCCATAGGTCCGACAAATACCAAGGTTTCATCTATTCATCTAGCATTTCCATCAAAAGGCGCTCCCCCAGTTAGCTTCTGCCAGGGTCGTTGGATCCAGCGGGACTGTTGCATATGAATGGGGACTTGAAATGGTGTATCCGACTGTGAATCGGGTGATGGGTTCACCCAAAAGCAGAAGTGCCATTCTCCCTCCGTGCGCCCCACAGAAAAGGATGTCCACCTGGGAATTCAAGAAAGATGCGCATGGTTTTCTGTGTGAACGACGGGTGCAGCGGGATTCTCCTGATGTTTCCCCAAAGACCACGTGCACATCGTGCGCACATAGGTGGTGGTGCTTCTCACCCTTTGCTGTTCGGGCACGATGGGCGCCGCCCGGTCGCACCAGTTTGGGCGAGGCTTCGACAGGAGGCGCCACAGAGCTTGATCGGCCGAATAGCCATGGTCTCCAACCTAGAAGCCATGGTCTTCAACCTAGTAGGAATGGCCTCCAACCTTGTAGCGATTGAACTTGCCTTATACTCACTTTTAGATGGTTACTCGGGTGACCAAAAGGTCCGACTGTGTTCAGACTGCACCACCTAAAGGTCATCATCTAGTGACCACATGCGACGTTTGCACCACCTCTTTTCGGAAAAATCACGAGAAAAGGGATGCAAGGTAGTTGTTGCCCAGGTGTCCGGTAGGCACCGTGAGTTGACTCACGATGTCCAGTCATCGAAAGTTGAGTGGACTCACCGACATGAAGCGATGACTTCCACCTTCGACGTGCGCTGCGAATCGGCTCGGAGAAGCTCCCAGGGAGCCGGGTCACTCGGAGCGACCAACGGGAGTTTTCCCTGCAGGCTTTCTGCTGGTCGATTTGAGATGGAAGATCTTGGTTTCAGGAGTCGCCCTTCGACCTCTGGTCGCCCCGGTCGTGTCTTCCGGTCGTGTCTCGCTGAAGGTGGCCCTATGCGTATGTAAAGAAATTCATGCCATCTCAGAGTCTCCGGCACGGTGTTCTGGGATTCCTGGTGCGACCGTATTGGATGACTTTCTGATTGGAGCGAGGCCATCTACTGCTTCTGCTGGCCACTGGTCTTCACGCTGGGAGTGCGCGGCGTTTTGTGCGGTTTTTGGTGTTTCTTTTCCCACGACATTGTTCCGTTCGTACGGCCAGGAAACCGCCCTGTTCGTAGCGAACCTGGTTTGGTGAACGACGGAAGCTTCGGGTGTCTGGGGAACGGAGCAGATGAGGACGCAAGGCCAGATCCATTCGCTGCGACCGACGGGTGACCAATCCTGCGATCCGTTCGCTCATGGTGTTTCTCTTCGTCTATCCAAGAAACGGGGAAGTGAAAGCAAACCTGTTTGTGGAGGAGTTCATAGTCTTTCCAGGAGCATTTCTCCATGTCCATGCTTGTTAGATGGATGGCATACATCCCAAAATCTGTGTGATCGTTCTCGAAAGACTAACATATAGGACACCTGAGGTAGTCCTTCAACATGCTTCAGGTCCCGCTTTTCGATCACCTTTCTTCACACTAGTGTCTTCACACTCACCCCTTCTGCCCCGCACGAACTCGGCCCAAGCTCGCTCTCGCTTGACGAGGTCCAAGGGCACCTCCGTGGTGCCTCAGAGTCCCCTCGCTCTGCCCAGCTCGCCGCCGCACCAGAAATCAGGCGCGCCATGCGCCATGCGCCATGCGCCATGCGCCGCGGCAGGTGATGAAAGGAAAGGAACGGAAAGGGTGCCGAAATGTGATCGATAGCTTGACAGGATGCTGGTATTTACACCGGAGATACTGGTGAAATTTGCGGTTTTTCGGTTACCAAACGCTGGGACGAAGGAGTTGTTGCCTGTACCTCGAGTAATTGAGGGACTGTGCATCGACGGCTATGCCGAGGGCGAGATGTCCGGATGAGAACGGAGAAATCATGGAGAGGTCCACCTCTGAAAATTGTTACTACTAGTAAGGCACTTGTTGGAGAGGTCCACCTCTGCAGTGAGATTCCAACCATTCATTTCAATGGCAATCCCGAAGAAGAGCCAGGACGCTACGAACGGGGCTCCTGGCCTTACTACTAGGAACAAGGACGACTAGGAACAAGTGCATCGCTTCTAGTAACAAGTGCCTTACTAGTAGTAACAAGAAGCTACTAGGAGCAAAGGGCCTTACTACTACCTTGAGTCTCCAAAGACCTTTTATTTCCGCGTTTTTGCTTTTGGTCTAATATTTTTGCGTTTTTGCTCGAAAAACGCGTTTTTAGAGATGAGGACTCAAAAAAAGGTGCAGAGTGAATCTTCATCCGGACGCGTCCGGCACGGACGCTTAAAAACGCCTTTTGGACGCAAAAAGACGCGTTTTGGACGCCGCAAAAAGGTCTCAGGACACTGTCTAAGGAGGATCTGACAGGGCACAAACAAAAAAGGAACATTTCGTGACATATGCAAAAAAGAGTGCTTTCTTTCAAAAACCTCTTTTTCTTGGAAAGGCAAATTTAAAAGGGTCATTGGAGACTCAAGGTAGGAACAAGAAGCTACCAGCAAGACTCCTACTCCACACCTCGCCTGCGTCGCCGCAGCGGATGTCCCTGGAGCGCCAGCTTCTAGTAACAAGTGCCACGCTACTAGTAACAAGTGCCATACTAAAACCAGAACCTTCTGTGCCACGGCCCGCAGGCGAAAGCCTGAAGAGTCCCACGGGAGGCAACGGAAGCGCTACCGATGAGCGGTGTCCGGAAAATTGGAACACCATCACCTGACAAATGGTGAGTCTTCTTGTTGTTTCTTCTTCTTCTTCTTCTTC